CATCGACCAGTAAAAGGTAAATGGTCAAGGGTCAAAAATACCATAAGAGTAATTTTTTTTATTTTCATACTACTAATTCAAAGTAAAAACAAATCTATTTTAACTAATTAAATTTATTATTATACAATTATTCTCGACACTTTAAGGCTATTAATCTATTTATTGAAATAATTTTGGCTTTGTTAAATTTGTAATCAAATGAGCTTATTCGAAAGTGACGTCTAACATATTATCCCAATAATAAAGTGAATTTTAGATTGAGTTTAAAAAATGAATAAATAAAAATATTAAGATGAAAAATTTATTTACTTTTGTTGGGCTCAAAAATTTGAAAGTTTAACATGCAAACATTGGAAAATAGTGTTATTGGAATTGAGTGGAATCTCACATCGAAAATTAGTGAAACACGTTAAAGGCAATGAATCTATTAAACTAGCTAGCGCCTGTCTATCAAAACTGGGCATGGGGCTTTCATTTTCTTGGTTGAGCCCAATAGTTAAAGTTATAAACTTTATATCTAAATTGAAAAGGTTTTGGAAACACGGAAAAACCGTAATCGGTTTAAGGGTTAGTACCGGTTGTTTAGTGATTTTTTAACGGGTTTCTAATATCCCGTTATTAACCTACAACCGACCCCTTTTTAAGAACGGTTCCTGGTTTTACCGGTTCGACCGGCAAGGCCGGGCCAATTTTTAAAACATTGATTTTTTTATTACTTGAAATGGGTACCATTTTAAAATCTCGCACAGGGCACCCAAAATCTCAGGGCCGACCCTGGATTCATCGGATCCTCTAAGACTAGAACATCTTATTTCTTATGGTGAATCCATCCAATTCGATCAAATATTAATGAGCAATCATAATGTGAGCAGATTCGATAGGGGATGCAAAGACAATACTTCAAGATCCATTCAATTCATCTATGCCAAAAGTAACAATATATAATGCTTCTAACTTATCATTCACGAGCTTTATTAGGTATGAAGATCTTTGTCAATTTCTCTGAGTTTCATCGCTTTCCATTTCTTCAAACATAATTTGTAAGGATTTGCGTGTGAACCATTGGGAAGGTTTCGCATGGTGTTCCTATATTATCTGGAACTTACTTGCCCTCGTTTTGTTCACCTAAACAAGTTGATTAAAATTTAAGGACTAATTTGATCCCCATTTTTAAAAATACAATTTTCTCTCTCTCTTTTTTTTAATCAAACACCACAAACAATTCAGAAACTTTACATTCATTTTTAACAACATATTCTCAATCAATCAATTATTTCAAAATGCATTATATATAAAAAAAAATAATGAGGCTCGAACATGCCTAAGTCAAACTTGATAATTATTTTTATTTAATGGGACATAAAACTCTTCAACCACATATTTAAACATATTTTTATCAAAATCTACTAATTTTCATTTATACCAAACAATGGCTTAATTTTAAACTACAAAACAAATAAAGTGAAATTACTACAAAAAAAAAGGTTTTGAAATTAGTTAATTTTAACCTACGTGGAACCTAACCCAAAAAGGCGCTAAAAAGAGAGAGAGAGCGAGTTACGAGTCAACTCGGCAAAATTGGGTATAAATACTACATATTTACCGCCATTTCTATTTCTAGTTCAAATCAAATTCTCAGCAATAATGTCAGAATCGAACATGTCTCAACTGGTAAAGTTACTGAATTAGCTAAATTAATGAATGAATTCTACTGTTTGAATGAATGAAGGTATAATAAATAGTATATATTTTCTGGTTTGCTCTCGATCTGCCCACTTTTGACGGCATATTTTCTGATCTGCTTTACTTGTATAATTTGATTTGGATTTGAACGGTAAAGTTACTGATTTTTTACTGGTGCAAATGAATGAATGAATTCTGCTGGATATATGAATGAAGGTGTAAATTGTATATATTTTCAGATTTTGCTCTCGATCGGCTCCACTTTGACGGCAATTTATTTTCTGATATGCTTTACTTGTATAATTTGATTTGGATTTGAACGGTAAAGTTACTGATTTGTAACTGGTGCAAATTAATGAACATGAATCCAAATATGAAATTCAGTATATAAATACATAGAGAATAGAGATTCGTGTTCCTTTGTTGTTAGTTTAAGAGAAGGAGAAATAACTCAGGAGTTATAAAATTATTACAAGTACTGTATATTTAACATTTTAGGCCTTGGGTTTAAAGTTGAGATGCGTAATTGTCTAATTAGGCATTAAGTTAAACTGAGTTAATAATGGGTTCAATTGGACTGAGTATAATATGGATGAGTTTTTTTTAATTGAAATGTGTTTAGTTTTAATCGAGTTTGATAAAATTGAATTAATTTATTTTCAAGTTTATTTTTGTAAGTGGTTTGACAGTTTTAAATGATTTAAAGTTACTGATTTGTAACTGGTGCAAATTAATGAATGAATTCTGCTGGATATGAAAGAAGATATAAATAGCATATATTTTCAGGTGTTGCTCTCGATCTGTGATTTGATTTGGATTTGAACTTCAGCCATAAATTGATTTGTATTTTGGTTTATTTTGTTAATGAAGGAACCTTCTCTGGCCAATGGCATCAGTCCAAGGTGGAGAGGATGGGGTAAAATTGGAAAGAAAGTATGGGAAAACAAGGAAGAAATATACTATGAAATGTCGAATTTCTTGAGCGGAGTATACAGCAAACTTGAACACCACAAACGCCCGACTCGCCCGACTTGCCCCACTAAAGAATTTGTACTGCCCGATGCGGTGGAATTCATTGTCGCCACGTTGCCATGAGGCAGTGACGACAATTGAAATAGAAGGAAATAAAAACTAAATAAGGTAGTGACACAAATTTTGAAGGTGTAGAGTGTCGGACACCAGCGGGGTACTAAACTTTTACTTGTAGTAGATGTTACCTGTATGAATTTTGTGTAGGATTGCAGGAGAATGTTTGAGAACTGATTCAAAACTTGTAGAGAAAAGGATTAATATAGTAATTCTGAACTGAACTGATCTGTTTCTGTTCTTGTCTTATGCCTGCGGATGGGAAATAATTTTTTCTTGTTCTGTTAGTCGCCATTTTTTTATAACTACTTTGGCATCTTTTGTGTGGTTTGGTGCATTACACCGTGCAAATATATAGCTCAAGTGATTGCCACATTGATGCTGCAATTGAATCACAGTGAAGCTCAGTCAAAAGTACGATTGTATTTACCTGGTACCTACTTTCCTTTCCGTGATGCAAATCAAGAAACCAAATATTTGAATATTATGAAAACTTAGATGTAGAATGTCTTGATTCTGCATTAACTTTTGGATATAAATGAAGCCATTAAGTCCCAACAGTTTAAAACGAGGTTGTTTAACATAGAAGATAGTCTAAATTGGTGTTAAACTAAGAAGACTTAATGATGCACCTAGGCATTGTTCTTACATTGATTTTTGCTGTTTCATCATAATAACCAGAGGAAGCAGAAGCAAAGTTGGCTCCAATAAGCAGGTTTTTTTCCTATAGCATTCTTGCTGAGATAAGCTGGTGGATATGAAGTAAATCCAAGGTTTTCAGCTCCATATTTGAAGAAATCAAACAAGCTTAAAGGTCCAAGTTCAAGTTTGATCATAATCTACTTATCACGTAATTTAAATAATAGTTTTTCCCTCTAACAACTTAAATTATAGACGAGGTGGTTCGATCGAGAAGTGAGACGAGTTTAGTACCAGTGAAGTCTGAAGCCAGTTTTCCATTACAAAATCTCCCATCTAGTTCAATGTTCCAAACATGTCACAATAGAATCAAACAACTACACTGGACAATATCACTTCCACAGCCTGTCAACTAGAATTACGCAGAAAAGTGCTGGAAAAATACCTACTTATTTGAGTACAAGATTTGAGGACAACAAAATTTTCAATTGCAAACTTACATTCATTGCCTTCAAACATCCCCATTAGCCATAAATAGATCTAATTTTTTTTTTTTAGTTGGCTCTTGTACTTGGAAAAGCCTCCGACTGTCACTGTTATTGCCATTGTTGTCAAAATCTTGCTGATACTTTTTCTTTGCTGAATCACATACATGATGGTCTTCCGGAGACCAATCCAAGTTACCCCATATCGTCTCTCCTCCTTTAGGTATCAAAGAAATGACAGAATCCCACGTTTGAGATACACGCATGACATGATGTAGAGTTTGAAGGTCGAGAATTTCGGAATCTAGAAGACCGGGAGCCATTGCTCTGCAATATCAAATGCAGAAGAAATCATGGGCACGAGCACAACGAAAATAAAATGACAAGATTATACTTAATTGGATGACGTTTAATTTGAATGCATAATATTAATATGCAAAGAAACTAACCTGATAAAAGCAACATCTTTGCTCTCGGCCGACAATATGTTACTGACAGCTTTCGGAACATCAAGAAATGTCGGACCGATATTCATGATTGATTTTATGTGCTTGGCACACCAGCCTGGACCACCACCTCCTCCCATAGGTGGAGGCGCTTCAACCCATTTAAGTAAATGGAGAAAATAGATAACCAGCATGGAATGAGGCACCACCACCACTTTTTTATTCCCATTAGTTACATACAGAAGCTCGATATTACTCTTTAATCTGCTAAGATTTTGGTCTCAGACCTACACAATCCAAATTGAGAATATAATATAGAAAACTCAACTCAACTGAAGACATTTACACATTACTAGCTAATTCTTTACACAGATTAAACGGAAAAATCCGAGAGCACACAATACTTGACTGGACAGTACAATGAACAGCAGTTTAGTTTCTAAGCATAGGTTCTTGAACAATTACAAGACTAACATTCCACTTTCATGAGACACTTACAGTTAGGAAATAAGTAGAATATGCAAGAAGTTAAGGTTGGCTATAGTTGCATTCTATCAATCAATTACAACAAAAGAATCTTGCACCAATCAAGATTACAGTAATGATTGGTAATAAATGCTCATATTTTCATGAATTCTAGCATTAAATAACTAAAATTTGGCCCCACCTGATAATCTGCAGAGGACACATGGTCGCAGTTAATATTTATACAAAACCGGCTTGAGTTATACTTCATTGAAATTAAGGTTAATAAGATATGATCGATCTGTTTGCAAATTTTACCTTTGTATTCTGAAAAGATAGCCTCCAATCATATGCAGCCATCATGTACGTGTTCTTGCCCTCGTAGCCCATGAGGGCTAAATTTTCGATAAGAATAGCCCAAACAAAATATCCCGAAGCGAAATAATCAGCTGCAACTAGTCCCTAAAGCACACGAACCCTAATGCTCGGTGGATCGAGCCCCGTCTCATTGTCCAAAGACAGAAGCTCCAACCAACACCCCAACTCAGAATCTGCCATCAAGACTAACCATGAAGTGCTGGCTTCAGTCATTGGAAGGTAAATATGCAATTTTCAGAAATCATGCTCTAGTATGTTATTATTCATCGCTCGTCTAGTAAGGTGAATTGTAGAGTGTGCACGAACTTACTGATAACCAAAACAAGCTAAAATTTTGTTAGCTGAAATGTCATATCCTATCCAGTACTGTGGTCTGTGTACCAAACAAGAAACTAAAATGCCAGTGAATTTGTTTTCAGCCATGATGGAGTACAAGATGCAGCACTTCACCATTATACAAAAACTTTCAGAGGCTTCTCTGCTATGCTAACACCAGATCAAGCTGCAAAACTTGCAGGTACCCTCTGATAACTCAATGGCCTAATAACACGTGCAAGCAGATGTGCAATAAACCTGTTTGCCAAAGGAACTGCTTGTGGTTGTGCTACAAGTAAATACATTAAACATACTAAAAATTACACTTATCTGGTATGATTGAAGATCAATCAAATTACAAGACTTCATATAGGTGTCCCTTTACCAAGACAGTGATAATGATTCTGTATTGTCTAAAAACCTCATATACAACCTCATTACAGTTCATGACATCCGTCAATTTTCAGATATAACCTAGGTTGCTATTCTTTCAAGTACAATTACTCAAAATATACAGGAATAATAAGAAAACAAGTAGCCTACTCTAGTTTTGATCGTTTCATTGAATGCAGAGCACGATTCAATTCTGTCCGTGTTTGAAAGCTAGACAAACAAGATCCACACTCGAGGGAATTTCTGGCCTTAAACAGATTTCAATGAAATAATCAACTATCAACGTACTCAACGTGACATAATTATTGGTGTCATTGACACTGGTAAAGTCGATATTTAATATTGTTTGAACCTTCTAATGCTCTTGAATCAACCACCATAAAATCACACCACCAATTATCTTACCTCCTGGAATTTGGCCTGAATCGAAGAGCTTAAACGGCTACGGATTAGGACCCGTGCCCGTAAAATTCAAGAGGAATGCTCAGCTAAAGAGAATTTCACATTGTCCAACTGCAACAGGTAGCCACCAGTTGACAATGTTAACTTATTTGGAGTAGGGACAAACATTGCAAGTGGAGGTGCAATAAGTGCTCCACTTGCAATCTACAAGGCTTGCTGGTTCAATCTCTGTAGTGATGCAGACGTTCTTGCTGCTTTAGATGATGCTACTAATGATGGAGTCGATATTATATCAATGTCCCCTGGACCATATCCTCCCCAACCTATCTATTTTGAGAATGCAATTTCAAATGGAAGTTTCCACGCGTTTCAAAAAGGAATTGTGATATCTGCATCAACCGGGAACAGTTTTTTTCCAAGTACTGCAACTAATGTTAGGTACCTTTTTTTTTTTTTAAGAAAACTTTGGCTTCACTCTCGATACATGCATGCTCAAGGAATATCAACATCCCTGCCAAAGCTTTTTACATGCCTCTCTTAATCATGTCGAAGTATGAGGTGTCCGCAGGGAGATGCTCACTGATAACCTCAGGGAGAAGGGCATTATTGTAAAACAAGGTGGTGGTGTAGGGATAATACTCATTGATCAACTTGCCAAAGATATCGAAATTCAGTTTGTACTACCAGGTACCTTGATAGGTCAAGAAGAAGGAGCAGAGCTGCAAGCATACATGACTGCACAGAAGTAAGTTGAATTTTTATCTAAATTGAAGAGAAACAATCAATTTGTCCAATATTAAATACAAAGAGATGTAACTTTTACTATTTAATTGTCAAGCAGTAATAATACTAATTTGGTCGTTTCAGGAATCCAGCGGCCAGAATATACAATCACTTATAAATAAAAACTTTCATATAAAAAATCGTAAGTTCAGAATTTCACCAAGAGATGTGTATAACTTTATTTATTTTTAAAAAATAACTTTTAAATAATATTTTCAACTGTATTAATTACCTTTTTTAATACGTTTGAAAATGGAAACAAGCATGTGTGAAATTTAATATCTACAAACACACTAATATACCATGTCAAAATAACTGCAATTAACGTAGTCATTGGTAGAATTCAGATGCGGAAGAGAAGTAATTCAACAAGAAGATTATAAGTTTTCAATTATATGCATATGTCCACTTCCAACAATATTAGATTCAAACTCTATGTCTTTATTTCTCCCCTCTTCTGCTTCTTATCCAACTCCTGCTGTGGGGACTGGACCCTATTTTGCACAATCAAATAACCCTCTGCTAGCGCCATTTCCAAGCCAAAAATGAGAGCCAAGCGTGAAGCCGGGCCAAGGCCTCGGTGCATATTGAGGAATCCGACGGCAGCAGCCTCAGGGAGGATGGAATTCCATGGATCATCCTTCTGCCTTACATATATCATAGAACTCTTGAAGACAGAAGAAAGACCACCATAGGCGGCACAGTGGCTAGCACCGGTTACGCTCATCGTACAGCTTGCGAGCCCCAGATGAGGCGCTCTCCTTTAAGGGGGTACTTTTCAAATTGCCCAAGTCAGAGGTGTACTTTTCCACTTTGCCCAAATTTTTTTATCATTCACCACAATAGCCTTC